CCCCCCCACCCCAACACATAGTCACACACACACATATAATCATTCTGAGTGAAAAAAGTAAGGACAATCACATAGTCATTTAAAGAGCCTTTTCTTTTCTGACCCCAAACACTAAAACATCTATTGTTTCATGTTCCATTAATTCTTCTTTTTATATCCTCCACTAAGATGTTTGCACTCTCAACAACATTATTAGATGAGCACCTAAGCTTTCTGAGTTTCCTTGGATCTTTACAAGTTTTCAGAATGTCAGACATTGCTTGGGCTCTCCGCATTATTGATGATCTGAACTCATGTGACCCATCTGTTCCTTCTTTATATCTGTCTGGCAATTTCTTTGAATGTGGAATAGAAGCCATTCGAGCAGAAATCCTCCGTGCTATCTCTGTCATTCCTGATTTCTTTAGTTCTTCAACCAGCTTCCGATAAGTAAGGTACTGAGGCACAATCCCTCTCCGGATCATGTCCTCAAACTCCTCACCTGCCTCCTCAAATCTATGTAATCTGCAAAGCAAATGGACCAACATGGTGCTTGTGGCAAGGTCTGAATCAAACCCCCTGACCATCATTTCCTTCCTAACTTGAACAGCCAAATCCAATCTCCCCTGTTCACACAACATCTTGATCAATAGATGGTAAGTGAGACGATCTGGCACATAGCCTGATTCAGTCATCTTAGTGTACAGGTTCATTCCCTCTTCAATCTTTCCAAATCTTGAGAAATGCCGGAAAAAGTAATTGTAAGTAGTTGGGGTCGGGACAAATCCCCTTCCAATCATCATTTTCAATGTCTTACTTGCCCTGACAAGATCTCCTGCCTTGCAGTAACCCTTGACCAGAGAATTGTAAGTTGAGACAGTGGGACCTGAATCTGAAATTGAGAGTCGTTCCATCATTGCCAATGCTTCTTTAAACCTCCCAGCTTCACTCAAAGCATCAATAATTGGGTTACAGACAATGTCATTGGGCTCAATCCCTTCTCTCCTCATTTCTCCAATTAATTCAATTGCCTGGTCAACTCTACGCATCCGGCAGTACCCTTCAATAATGGTACCATAAGTTACAACAGTTGGAGCCACATTCTCTTTTCTCATCACTTCCCATAGTCGTTCAGCCTGCTTAAGCTTTCTTGACCGAAACCATCCATTAAGGAGAATATTGTAAACCCTTATTGTTGGAATCCACCCAGGTTCCAGTTGCTTCCTTTGATCAAGATACGCTGAAGCAATCCTGGCATGTCCTTCCTTGCAAAGGGAATCTAACAATACATCAAACAAGTCCAAATTCAAATCCAACCTATGGACTGTGTCAGATTTATGTGCAAATTCAAAAGTTCGAATAGAGGCCTGGGGCATATCTGCACGAGCATAGCGTCTCATGAGTATTGCAAAGGTATCACTAGAGATCAATGATGGGTTCACGTTAGAGTTAAGACATTCAAGCATCAGAGACCAGACTAAATCAAATTCTCTTGCCTTTGCAAGGATATCAATCATGGAGTTGAAGACAGGAGTAGTGGAGCAATAGGAGGGCTGATGCTCAGCCCAGCGAAAGAGAGTGTAGAGTGGTTTAGGGGAATAATCTAAGTGGTTGAATATTGCCTCTAACAAAATTGGACTTGGTTTGATGCCAGTTTGGTTTAAAGCAGCTTCGAAAGTTGGGCCAGCAGAGAGGTTAGGGTCCCTAAGCAGGTTGCAGATGGTGGCACAGTCCTTTTGGAAAAGGTTCGAGTCAGGGTTTTCTCTTTGATGATCTGTCTGCTCTTGTGGTTGGCAGTGCTGTTGGAAGGAGGTGGATGGTGGCTGCAACATGGGCTGTGTTTTGGCGTGTTGTGATTGTACAGGCCAATTCATGGGGGGATTTAGAGGAACAGAGATCCATGATTGGTCGTAGAGAAGCCTATAAGTAGTGGAGAAGTTGAGGTTTCTTCTGGTTCGAAGGACGGTAAGAGCAGTAAGACCCAACATTAATCCCTACAAAGCAGCAAACTAGCTCACTAATGCATGAAGTTTCGTTCTTATTTCCTCTTAGGTTTTGGTTTCTTCCCTCGTAAAGCAAGTAGAGAAGGTAAAAGGATAACAACGTTACCCAATGATTGGTCCGTTATCTGCAATTTGGTTGAGCATGAGCATGGAAATCTCCTCCTACTCGTATAACCAACCAACATTCGCATGCTTTATGGACAAGATTAGCACCATATCCGCCACCAGATTGCATTACTCCTTGACATGACAAACACCACATAGTACAACCATAAGACTTCAGATTGAATCCATCGTTCAATCATTTCTTCAAGCATGTCCTATGCCCTCTTCATCCATGTCTCCAAGCTTGTCCAATGCCTTTCGTATATATTACCTAAAGCAAGAATAACATTTGATCAGCAGCTATCTGCATCTCAAACGTCGTACGAGAAGGACTTGTGGGAGGTACTCTGTAATTGTAATCTGTATTCAACGTGTGAGAACTGTAACATCATGGCTGCAACCACTCTGTATTCAACGTTTGGCAGCAGCAACCGACAAGCGGCGAGTCCGACGACGACTCGACGAGCCCACGACGTTTGTTTAGTTAACTTTAAACCTGCAGCTCAAGGGATTAGGTTTACTGAATAAGGAATAGAGACAGAGGGTCAGGGAAGAAGTTCGTTGTCCTTTGTTATCGGATATACAAATTCGATAACTTAAGGCTATGTTTGGTTTGAAAGAAAACGTTGGGAAAGGAAGCGAACGATAGGAAAACCTATACAATAATACAACCTTCCTACCTTCTTTCAAACCTAACACAGCCTAACTGATCATGTCTTCAAACGGATATCCGAACCCGGTATAACATATCGAATCGAAACGGATTGATATCCGATCCATTTGCACCCCATTCGGCATAGCTAGCCAGCTAGGGCTAAAAAAAGGATTTGATGGATATTGGTAGACCCAAGTTCGAATCGTTTATATTCGAATCAGATTGTATCAATCGTACATATAGCAAAATTCAAATCGGATCGAAAGGGATTGATATGCCCCTAGTTAGAGATGATTTGGCTTCCAGTAGATGACGGACGTGGTGGATTTGCACAGAGAGAATCAGAGAACCTGGGGGTGCTTACGCAGCGAGGTCTCTCCGATGCTTAAGTTAGTAACTTGTGAGCTGGATGTAATTAGAAAAGCTAGAGAGCTAGTGAACAGTGATTATACGTACCTTTGCCCCCAAAGGGTTGGGGTCTTTATATACTGGAGTCCTCGTGGGTTTTTTGGAGTGGTTCCGGGATTCTTGCCGTGATGAGGCCCGTTACCGAATTAATAGGAGATAACGTCGCCAGCCGATAAGGCATATCGCTGCCGTTCGAATCAGTCGGAGGAGATAAGGCCAGCTGTCACGAGGCGTGATCCCGTGAAACGTGGAATCCGGTGACGAGATCTTCGGGGTTATCATGTGGAGGTCGGTCAATATTACTCGAACTAATGCCACATGGGTCCGACCTGTTACGAACGCCGAGGTGCCTGGTAACCGAAGTGATCTTAATGCAATCGTGCCCCGAAGTGAACTTGTCCCCAGGTGGATTTGCTTCCGAAGTGGGCCTACCCCGAGGTGGTTCGGTTATCCGAGCTTGGTCCGTCACTAACTTGGGTACGTCGGGATGAGCTGTTGTTCTGCTAGTTAGGCCGTGTCCACGTGTCTCTCAATTATTAGGTTGTGCCAAATCACCCTACATCAATATCCGATCCCATTGCATCCCATTCAGCATAGGCTGCATCTGCATAGCTAGAGCTACAAACAGATCGGATGGATATAAGTAGATCCAAGTTCGAAACGTTATATTCGGATCAGATTGTATCCATCGAACTCAAATCGAATTTTGATTATATTGGATATTAAATTGTATAAATGAATTGGACTATAAGCAATCAAAATATATTAATAAAATATGCTAAAAATGACTTTAATATTATAGTTTATGAATACAATAAACTAAAAATTATTTGTATAAACCTATGGCAATTAGGGTGTCCATGAAAAACCGAAAAAACTGAACCGAACCAAGAAAATTAAACCGCAAAATGCAGTTAACCGAATCGGTCAGTTCAATTTCGGTTCTGAATTTTTAAAAAACCGAAGGGCCGATTCGGTTTTTGATTAACCTATAAAAAAACCGATGGTTAATCGAACCGACCGGTATATATATTTATATATATATAATAATATATGTCACATATTTTCTATGTATTTTATATAAATATATATTCATTATATATAAATATATAAATATATACTTATATTATATTTATAATGATCTATTTACAAATATATTATATATTTTTTAGATATTTATAATATATTATATATCATTTATTATTTATAATATAATATAATACATATATTTATATAATATATTATAAATATTAAAAACCGAAAAACCGAACTGATCAAAAACCGAAACCAATGGACCGATTAACCGGTGGTACCGGTTCGATTTTGATTTGGCGAAACGAAAAAACCAGTACCACATTCGGTTTACAAAAAGGGGCCATGGTTCGGTTAATCGAACCGTTGACACCCCTAATGGCAATTTAATGAAAATACATCCAAGTCAACTTTACTCATACTTATAATATAAATATTATATTAAAAACGGGCCTATAACTTGCCACCTGTCCACTCCGACAGGGCAACTTTTTTTGTTTGAAGGCAAATTTTGGATTTTTCAACCCGTATAGGTACGTGTATAGATATGGTATTGGATACACCCAGAATAGTCCAAACTCAACCCAAAACAGTAAAGGTTAACAATATAACCGAAAAGCTGGTGCAAGTAGGTCATCTGTAACCTAACTGGTGCTTAAATAACTATCTAATGTCACAGAGTGGACTCTATCAGAGAGCTTCAGAAGATTAGCCGCTTCACCATACTGAAATAACAAAAGGCCATACAGACTCCAGGCTTACCCAGTAATAACTAATAACATCTCTTCCATTTAGGAATCCTCTGCAAAGGAAAAGGCAATTTATTGACAAGAAGAAAACCACACACTTAGGCTATGTTTGGTTTTGATAGTTTTCTCGAAGTATATGGACAAATCAAATTAATTGTCTACAATGGAATGTTCCCAAGTCCCATCCCTTGCTCTTCCAGGTAAAATGTGTGGATATGCCATCATGATTCACCCAATGAGGAAAAGGATTACGACCCAAAAGTGCAAAATCTCCAATCATGAATGAGCTATCAGTTGATTTTATCAATGTCCAAGCTAGAAGATTCTACTCCAGTATTTTCCTTTACAGGACTGCGGGCTCCATGCACCTAGACAAAAAGAGTATAATCCAATAGTTCTACAGAATTTTCCTCTCCAGTCCTGACTGTAGAGTTTCAGTGCATCTTATCAATGCCTGGGATAAAATAGTCAACTCTGGTCTCTGCACTGTATAAGGTATAAAAATTCTTTTCCCCACCAGATATTCACTTTATCTCACGAAATGTAGATTGCAGAAATTAATTTGTTAAAAAAAAAGGACTAAAACTTGATGGAATACTTTAAACTCCAACAACCAGTGGTCTATCCCCACAAAAAAAAAAATCCAGAAAGTGGTTTCTTTTACCAAGTAATACTCTGTTCATATGAACAGAGTATGATGTGGCAAATATATGATGTCCTTTTGGTCCCATCAGCTAAGCTGCAAGATGGAAATTCATGGTCTGTGGTTCTAGAGCTTTTCATATGAACAGAGTATGATGTGGCAAATATACGATGTCCTTTTGGTCCCATCAGCTAAGCTGCAAGATGGAAATTCATGGTCAGATATGTTTCCTAGGTGTAACTAGGAAAGAGTGAACAGATTCAATTAGTTCATCATTTACTGTAAATGATATTAATGTCATCATTTACCATTTGCATCATAATCAATAAGATATAATTAAAGATTGAAAATTAATATTGATTATATCCATTACAAATGAAACATGTATGAACTTTCTTCCGTAACAAGTAATGAATGCAAAAATGGCTCTCTTCCAAAGCTCCTCTCTAAATCCACAGAAGTATAGCTGATAATAATAGTAGTAGTCCTTGCTGATTCCTTGAGCAGATTGACACTTCACTTGATCCTACATGAAAAAACATAAGAAATTCATTGATTCAGTGAGTAGAGAATCAATTATTTATCTGCCAGCTTTCAGAATAGAAAATAATGTTTTGAACTATATCTCCTAAAACAATAGTAATAGTATTATTATATATACCATTTTTCACGGAAACATTCGAACTGGGGCTTATACCATTTGTCGACAAATCATTAGAACTGGGACTTGGAGGTGGACTGCCAAGGCGTAGCCCAAGGGAGGAACAATCTGCTCCAAAATAGCCTACCAAAAGAAAAGAAAAGAAAAAGAACAATTTGACTTGATGAAAATGTATGATACATTTAAAAACATCACGTAATGTTATCTAAATAAGAAGGCAAGAGAAGTGTCTGGTGCTAGGATTTGACTCTTCAAATAAAATATGTACAAGATCCAAAATATTCTACCAATTGAGTGTAAAAAAGTCCTACGTATAATCAATCTATTAGTTGTTTTGAGACAAAAGTGCAGTATCTGAACCTTTTTTGACTTGATGTTGTTCAGTAAAATAGAACTATTCTGTAATCAACATTTTGTCACTAGTACATTTAGTTTAACGGAAAAACTAGGAAAAAACCTTACATTGTTTGAAACAGGCTAAGGCTGTCATATTCAACAAGTTAGCTGATCCTTCATTGCAAATGCACATGTGCCCAGTTCCATTTGTTATACAGCTCCCATCACCACACCAAATCAAGGCGCAAGCTACAAAATGTAAATTACAATTTTTTTTTTATAAGAAGGAACAAAAGAATACAAAAAATTCAAGGCACTACTATATTTTCGTTTTAAACTTGCAAGACATAAATTGTAGAACCATTTAACAAGTAATATGCCACTACATCAATGAATGAATATTCTAATTTATTCGAGTAAATTAGAAAACAGAAATAGCAAATGAAAGACTTAACACAAATTCATTCTGGAATCACAGAATGAACATCAAATTGTAAATATTGCAACTTGATCTCTGTAATGTTGTACCCCATATATCCCAATGCTGTAGCACTCCACCAGTGACAGGTCATAACACTAAATTGCTCACCGTGCAACATTTAAAGCTTGAAGCACATTCCATGGTACTTGGTACCAAAAACTGTGTTTTTGTACCATAGAATTGTTGGTAATTTCAATATACACTATGTTTGAGCCCGAGCTTCAAAATTATCTAATTGTGTATTTAGGTAATATATTCCATAACTAGAAAGCAAATTAAATGAAAATATGCTTGTGTGTGATGAAATTACGGTCCAAGATATGTGGTTCCCACACAGATGTAGGAGAAGAAGGTGGTGGTGGCGGAGGAGATGGGCGGCTGCTGTCACATGTAAAGTCAATTGTACCTGCAAATTTTCCCAAGATTACATCATCAATTTCTTTCTCCCAGTGAAACAAAATTAACTAGAAAATCAGATTTATGTTGTTAATTCTTAGCTGAACAAACCAATGTAAGATTCAAGAAGCAATAAGGAAATACGTCTTAATAGGAAAGTTTTATCCCTTTTTTGACAACTTGGGCATTGAAGTCATTTATGAACCTACTGAGATAGTGTGATGTGAATGGTATCCTCCAAATTGATGGTGCCTTCTTGTATCAACACAGATGGATCTCTCCAGGCCTCACGGGAAGCATTGCCTGTATTATAAGGACTGCCAAAGAAAGCTTGTTTGTTCTTTTGCAAACAACCAGACACAGTTCAGGCTATCTCTGTCTTGGTAAATGAAGGGAATAAGTAGGATCTAACCAAAGCCAAAACATGGAAATTAAGAAAAGGCCTTAAACCCAGACTCAAGTTAGCAATTGATTGCATCAATAAAATAGATACCAGCCCACATGAAGCTTGGTGTAACAACACTCCAGAGATTGAAGGCCTAACAAACTTTTTTGGCTCTGCTACTATATATGAATAATTGAATACATACCAAGGGAATCCAATAAAGCTAGCAATCTTTTATCTAAGCTTTTCAATGATGTAAATAATCCTTTTTGTTTGCAATCTTTTATCTAAGCTAGCAATCTTTTTTTTTCCCGGATGAGCCCTCCAAAGTACTGCAGATGTTGCCTGACATAAAGTTTTCAGCTTTGCCCCAAAAAAAAAGAAGACTCAAGAATAGGGACCCAAGTTTGTAGCTCAGTTGGAAAGTGTTATTTTATCAATATCCACATACCACAAATGTAAGGTCTTATATATATTGGACATTTGAATCCAGTCTGCATTTTCTTCTACACCTTGAAACTCAAAACAGTGGAGAAAGGACAGCTCCAATGCTGATAATGCTAATAAATGGGTTTTGTAGTCAAATTATCTTCGAATGAAGCTGGTGCAGGGTCTTCTTGTAATTATAGCCCTTGCCTAAAAAGCCAAATAAGGATTTGGTGCTGAAGAACTGTGATTGGCCGAGGCAGCGAGAGATGCTAACTGGGCCGATCAGAGGTGTTCATCACCCTGTCTTCAACAGCTGATGCAATAGAACTCTCCGAAGTCTTATGCAGTACATAACTCAGAAGGACCTATGGGCATATGGGCTGACGGGGTGTGAACAGTGAAGCCAATTGACCTTCCAACCAAGTTGTCTTTCTTTCACATTTGCAAGTTTTTGAGGTGTTAGACGAACTGCTAAACTCAAAAACTTCACACCTTAGTTGTTAGGTAAAGCCAACATGCAATAAATATCCCTCGCAACTATTTGGACGGACCAAACCAAGTCCGGTCTCGTGTGCCAAAGAACTGTTGTTTGATTTTGTGTAGCGTGTGCCAAAGGAAAATTTTGAAACGATTTAACAATTAATCTTGCCTAAAGACTGATTCAGTCCCAATTAATGGATTGATTGTGTTTTGCTTGAGAGAGAGAGAGAGAGAGACTCACAGTTGGGGATGATGCAGGAAGGAAAGGACATGGGTCCAATCTGGAGCTTCTTCCATCCAGGATTACACTCACAGTCGAAACCAAGTAAGGTACCATTCGAAGCCTTGCAAACTCCTTCTCCACAGTTTACTAAAGCGCAGGAGATATCTGCTTTTTTTAAGTGCACAATAATCAAACAACACCCAGAAGATCAGCATCATTAAACACACAAAATGAACTTGTAATCTCCACATCACCCAGTAGTGCACAAAAAGAAATTAAACATTGTTAAGGAGGAATTACCAATCACAGAGTCCTGCAAGTCAGCTCTGTAAGCCCCAAAGAACGAAACGAAGAGAAGAAGCTGGAGGAGATAGAGACCCAGGTAGCCCATGTTGGACCCAGAAATTAAAAGAAGAAGGAGAAGAAGAAGAAGAAGAAGAAGAAGAAGAAGAAGAAGGTAGATAGACGGACTTGCGTTGTGTTGTTCTTGTTGGGACTTACAGAGTGACCAACCGGGTCGGTCGTTGAGATTTGTTAGATGCATTTATGGAAGAGTTAATGTATAACAAACAGGATTCGTCATCCACGTCGGTGTTAGTAGAGACAAAAAACGGTAAAAAGTTGTAGTCCGGACTCCTGGAGAAGAGAACCGACGGTTGTTTTACCAAGAACGACGCCATCAATCTCTCTCCCTGTTCCTCTTTGTCAAAGGTTAGGCCGTTGGTTATGTCAATATTAGACTGATTAGATTATGGCACAGGACGCATTTCCCACGCTAACGTGAGCTTTTCAGGGGATTCGTTTCGTGTGATTCCCATTTTCTCATTTATGAGGCCAATTTCCCACGACAGAAAAAAGCTCATAAGCCTAACCAGATGAAATGGGTATTTAGTAACATTTGAGCCCCGTTAGAAGTTGCCACTTGTCACAAAATTAAAAAAAAAAATTGATGTCTACTTTCAAAAAAGAAAATTATTGAGGGATACAGTATTTAACAGGGGTGGTTTTTAGAAGGATATTTAATGCCTGATCTTCCAATCCAGGTTAACAATCTTGATTTGTAAGATGGTCAATTTGTTAGCCAAATGAACATTTATCTAAATACATTTGAATGCAATGATATAAAAAATTTTTGTAAAATTTAAAATACTGGAGGTCTATTACCCAAACCCCTAATTTTTATAAAATAAAAAATTAAAAAATCAAAAAATAAAAGCGGAGAGTAACGGTCATATCAATATGCATTGGAAATATCGATATTTTAATTCTAGCCTAGGCTATACGTCATTTTTTATTTGACTTGAAAATAATGAAAATTTAGTGAACATTTAAGAGCTATTTGGAAACAGTTGAAGTGCCGACTTGCTTTATCTTTTAGTAGATAAGTTGTAAGCTCATTAATGGATGAAGTTCACGTTGGGTTGATGAGAGCTCAAGTAATCAAGTTAATCAGTTCATGAATGAAGTGACCAACTGACTATTGAGGTCAAGCTCAAGTTGGGTCGCTCTATTGCTCATGCAGTTTAGTATATCCTTCGTCTCAACCAATAAAGATAAAGAAATTGGGATGTTTATTATATAAACATTTATTCATTAAAACCAAAACACAAAGCAATAAGTCATTATTCAGTACAAGTATCAGCCATCATCAAACGGCCCCTTACATACATTACAGAGGAAATCACAATGGCCATCGATTTAAAGTCAAGTCAAACAGAAGAACAGTTTTAGAAATACTTGAAACATCATATGTGATCACATGCTGACAGCAACTAATGGCATAATAAATGAGGAATGATTTTTGTCAAGCCATAACAATCAACTGGGGTGGCTATTTGGTATATAGATTTCAAAAGTTCTTACCTTTGTTTCTATAATTTTTCATTTGCCCCCGTTTGAGAGTGTTTATTTTTAGACCAACACCACACCAATAAGCACTTACATGTGTTGGAGAAATAAGCCCAAATAAGTGTTTTTTTTTTCAGGAAATAAGTCCATTTTGCAGAAACTAAAAAAATTTGGCTGTTTTTCAAGGAATTTGTTTTAAATGTAACTTATTGCGTTTCTTGTCTTGGCCCACCATGTAATTTTCAAAATACCTAACAGCATTTAAAAAAGAAAAACACTTCACCAAAACACTCATATCAGTGCTTATTAAGATAATCACTTATTTATCCAATAAAAACTCCCAAAAAGGGGCTTTTATCTTTTAAATGCATTTCCTCTTGCTAGGACTCTTTATACAATCGGATGCCTATTCCTACTTAAAAGAATCTCAATCTAGTAAGCACACAATCAATTTACAACACGTCAACACCTATCGGGTGGCTTTTTCTTCTTTTCCTCTCTTTTGTTTTCTTATTGTGACTAATCAGATGGCAAAAATATGGAAGAGCTTTAGCAAAGGTCAATGTCAAATGTCCGAGCATGGAAAAAGGTGCAGCCTCTACCAATTCTTCCCCTTTACTAAAAGGAAAAAAAAAAAAAAAAGAATCAGAATCAGATCCTTACTTTTAGGGCGTTAAACAGTGAAAAGGATGAAATGAATCCCATTACCAGTAAATCAATATCAATTAATAAAGTTTAGAACACGATTAATTACATCAAAATTTTCTCCATTTCCCCTCTTTCTCTTTCCGGGAGACCAATACATGAGTAGTTTAGAGATACAATAGAACAACACATTTATATCTTTTCAATGAAAAAATCAGAGTACCAACACCAAAGATACTGGAAGAATCAAGAGGAAGGAGCAATCAACCAAGATCGACATTTACTGGTTTTATGCTGATCCAAATTCAGAAAACCACTTCTCATGTTTTTCAATGTCAGCTGCAGATACACTGGGTTGGACTTTGGTTATAGCTTCTTCAAAGTCACACATAGCAACTGGGTCCTTTGAGATTTCTTCCTTGGACATGTTCTTGATCTCATCTCGTGTCTTACCTGCAATCTTGCGCCTCATGCCATTTAAGGAAGCATCCCGGCAAACATTGGTGAGATCATCTCCACTGTACCCCTCTGTTCGACGGGCCACTTCATCAATATTTACATCCGGAGCCACCTTATCAGATCAGAGAGAGAGAGAGAGAGCAAATAAGAAAGAGTTCTCTATTATAACACATCTTGAAACAGAATCAAGATTGATAAAAAGTACTAAATCATGAACTCTATTATAAGCATTAACTCTCCCCTGAGAAGCATTTTGCAAACAGCAATAACTCGCCAAAGAATCTCATGAATATCAGTTTGACAATTTGATGGTGCCTTAAATGGCAAGGTACATGATTTACAAGTTGCTAGTTGTTACTCCGAGCCTGAGACAGAGATAAACTTGGGTTTGTCAAAATCCCACTCTCCACACTACATTTTGTGAAGCTCCACAATCCCAACTACTAATTTGCTTTAGTGAACCAAAATATTGGAATAAACCCCAATAGTTACTGTTTTGAATCATGAAAATGTTGTTAAACCACAAAGATGGCGGGTTATCTATCATACATCTTCCTTCTAAAAAAAAATTGTGAAATTCTTTTGGAATAATTCCTCAGAAAGAAACAGGAGAGGACCAAAATTCTCAAGGCAACAACTAGGCAATAAGGTGCCCATGGAGGGTCGCTTCGCTTCATCACCAAGGTATTTTTTAGTCTTTACACAGTGCTCTTGGATATGTTTATATTCTTAACTTTTTGATATATAATAATAAAATAGAGATTATTAAACTAAATTATTCAATTTGAGTACAGGTTTGATTTCAAAAAATAGCCCATGGTTCAGTTAACCAAATCGTGAGCACCCCTAATCACAACACTTTCTTGCAACCCTACACTAAAACATAGAAATGCTAACAATCAATTGAAAAACCAAATAACCAAAGGAGTGTAATGTCTTTCTCCTACCCTAAATGAGACAAAACAACCTGCTAACATATGAAAAAATAGAGACTACCTCTAAGGTCTACTACCTTACTATGACAATCAAGAACTGCCAAGGTAGACTAATATATGTATGATGTGTTCACATCGTCACAATACTTTCTTGTGACTCTCTAATAAAACACTAACCTATAATCAATTAAGACCCCATTCATTTGGCAGTAAGTTACTTACCTAAGCAAATGCATTTAGCCAGTTAAGTATTACCTGGTAAAATGTTAACAGGGTAAGTACATTTACACATGTTCTTTTGCCAGATGGGTAAATGAGCAAATTTCCTAAAGGGTCCTTTTTTTGGGTTCTGGCAGGGACATTCTAGTCCAACACAGTTTGGCCAATTTTCCCCTTCCATGGGTGAGTAACTTACCCACCTAGGTAGGTTGCCAAAAACTTACCAAGGGAAAGTTTTGTATGCATGGGACCCACACTTGACTAGTAAAAGAACATGGGCATTGACCAACTCCCCCCCCCCCAAACAAACGGGGCCTAAAAGAAAAACCAAATCACCCGATGAGTGCATGCCTAGGTGATTTGATTCTAATGAGTTCATGTGGTCACAACACTTTCTTGTGGCCCTCCAATAAGTCATGGACATGCTAATAATCAAATTTAAAACCAAATCACCTTGTAAGTTCATGCCTAGGTGATTTGGTTTCAATTAGTTCACATGGTCACACCACTTTTTTGCAACCCTCCAATAAAGCATAAGTATTCTATCAATTAAATGGAAGACGAATTACCCAACGAATGCATTCTTGTTGTTTCTACCCCAAGTGATGCATGAACTACCCGCTATCATATGATAAAATGGAGATTACATCTAGGATCAAATACCTTACTAGGAATTAGGGGTGTCAATTGACCGGTTTTGGTTTGGATCCAAAACAATCCAAACCTCATCAAATCGGATCTGGACGGTCCATTATAATTATTGGATTGGGCCAATCCAAAATAAATTGGTTCATATTCTTATTGGTTTGAATTAGACCTAAACCAAATTAATCCTTGTCCAATTTGAAATCAATCAAAACTGAAAACAGCATAAAATCACTTCTATGAAAGTACTTTTACGAAATCATTTTTATAAAAGCACTTTTATGAAAAGTATTTTATGAAAGCACTTTTATAAAAATACTTTTACAAAAGTACTTTTATGAAAGCACTTTTACAGTAGTTTTATAAAAGCACTTTTACAAAATCACTTTAATAAAAGAACTTTTACAAAAGTACTTTTACGAAAGCAATTTTACAAAAGTACTTTTATGAAAGAACTTTTATAAAAGTACTTTTACACAAGCACTTTTATGAAATCACTTTTACAAAAAAACTTACGGAAGTACTTTTATGAAAGCACTAAGAACTTTTATAAAAGCACTTTTAAAAAATCACTTTTATGAAAGAACTTTTGTGAAAGCACTTTTACAAAAGTATTTTTATAAAAGTACTTTTATAAAAACACTTCAATGAAAGTATTTTTACAAAAGTACTTTTACGAAAGCACTTTTACGAAAGTACTTTTATAAAAGTACTTTTACAAAAGCACTTTTGTAAGTCTATGGAAGTACTTTTCGAAAAGTGCTTGGTACTTTTATAAAAGTACTTTTGCAAAAGCACTTTTCCGAAGTACTTTTCGAAAGTACTTTCATAAACACTTCTACGAAAGTACTTTTATAAAACACTTCTATGAAAGTACTTTTATAAAACACTTCTATGAAAGTACTTTTATAAAAGTGCTTTTATGAAAGCACTTTTGCGGAAGTACTTTTACAAAAGCACTTCTACAAGTCTATGGAAGTACTTTTCAAAAGTGCTTTTACAAAAGTACTTTTACAAAAACACTTTTCTGAAGTACTTTCAATAAAGTGCTTTTGTAAAAGCACTTTTATGAAAATATTTTATCAAAGTACTTTAAAAAAGTGCTTTTTCAATGCTAAAAGTGCTTTTATATAATTTTTGATATTTCATTCGGTTTTGATTGGATCCAATCCAATCCATTTACATTTTAATGGATTGGATTGGATTTGGTTTGTATTGGATTTGGACTGGATTAGGTCCAGTCCATTTATAAGTGGACTCACATTGGACTGGATCGAGTTGGACCAAATCCGTCCAATTGACACCTCTACAAGGAATATCAAGAAATATGAAGATAGCTTAACATGTAGAGCAATGAGTTCACATAATCATAATACTTTCTTGCCGCCTCTAAAAAACCTAGACATGCTATAAGTTAAAGGATAAACCAAATCACCCAACCAGTGCATGCCTAGGTGATTTGGTTTTATGGAGCTCACATAGCCACAACATTTCTTGCAACCAACCATCCAATAAAACATAAACATGCTGCTATCCATCAAACAAAAAACCAAATGACCCAGTGAAAGCATGTTTGCTATTGTTACACCAAATGATACAAGAACAACCCATTGCCTTATAAAAGAGTGACTACCTCTAGGATGTACTACCTAACTACTACAATCAGGTAATACCTAGGTAGCTTAACATGTAGAGTGACACCTAGGTGATAAGGTGCTCATGGAAGATCGCCTCACTTAACCGCCAAGGTATTTTTTACACAGTGCTCTTAGATACTTAATATAAACTTTCTGAGATTATAATAACAAAAACAGCCATTATTAAACTAAATTATTCAATTTGAGTTAAAATACTATACTTAATATAAACTTTCTGAGATTATAATAACAAAACAGCCATTATTAAACTAAATTATTCAATTTGAGTTAAAATACTAACAGTGTTTTAAAAGGCGTGGGAGGCGTATGCCTGGAGGCGCGCCTCCAGGCAAGGCGCACCAAAACGCCCTAAGGCGTATGCCAGAGGCGCTGACACCTCTGAGGCGTACGCCTCAGGTGCAAGAGGCATACGCCTCTTGCACTTTTTTCATGAGGCGTGCTAGAGGTGTACGCCTCATGCACATCTGATATAAAAAGACAGAAAAAAAAGAAAAAAGAAAAAAAAAAGGAAAGGAAAAGAAAAGAAAAGAAAAGGAAGGGAAAGAAAAAGAAAGAGAAGAAAAAAAAAAAAGAAAAAAGGAAAGGAAAGACAAGGGGAAAGAAAGTGGTTTGCCCCTTGCCCCTTCGGCCCCCCTTTGAACTAATGTTATGCATAATGCATCTTTATTATTCTTAATATAAAATATTTTTATTAAAAATAAAGAAAAAAATGAGATCCCCCCTTCCTCTTCATCCTCCTCCTAACCCCCCCCCCTCCTTTTAAGGAGGCTTACGCCTCTTGCATTCTGAACTACGCCTCACGCCTCTAGGTAGTGGAACGCCTCGCGTCACGCCTCTTGCATTTTGAACTATGTTGATTTTCTATGTTTTAAATGAAGTTATACATTTTCTATGAAGATTATAGACAATAATTTGTTTTGGTAATAAATAGTGAAAGATGATCATTGCTTGCTAAGAAACCTAGGGAATTACCCTACAATTCATAGTTTTTATTCAAAAAAATCCCATCACCTAGGTGACGCCTAGGTGCCCGCCTAGGCAACTAGGTGAGAAGGCACTCCTCTATCACCTAGCCTCACCTTGGCACCTTGAAAACTATGGACAGGTAGGGGTGCAACTCGGGCGAGTTGGGTCCGGTTGAAGGCCAACCCAAGCCCAACCCTAAACGTGCAGATCTTGGGCTCAAGCCTAGCCCAACCCAAGGTTAAGCGCAAGTTTATCAACCCAGGCCCAACCCAACACAATTCAGGTTAGGCTCGGGCTCAAGCTGGGCTGGACTGGGTTAGTCGGGCTTGGGTGGGTTAGCTGGGTTTGAAAGAATTATGTGTATATATTTACAAAGCCATCTTTTATTAGGCTTTATGACCCAATTTAAGAGTAAAATTGTTTGAAAGCATGTACAAATTTCATTTACAAAATAAAAATGTATATATACATACTTTATACATATACACATGTATATATAATTAGAAAAAAAAAAGATATTTTTTATTTAAGTAATAATACATATATTTATGTATTTGTTTGGGTGGGCTCAGGTTGGATTGAGCCAGGCTTTGGTCGAGAGCTCAGGCTACCCAAGGCCTCAACCAAAGCCCAACCCAAGTTCGGGTCAGGCCCAAGTTTTCTAGCCCAAACCCAGCCTACAGCCTGGAAACTTAGGCCCAATCAATGCAAAAACTCAAGTTCCATGTTGCATCCCTATGGACAAGATAACTTTTATCTGCACAATTGAGAGATCACTTGGCAGTAGGGAACACAAGCAAATGAGATACATGGGAGAAAGCACTAAAAAAACATCTAATGCTACAACAAATTGCAAATATTTCCCTACTAAAAATTAACTTGAATAATTTCTTCACTAGAAACTTGAATATTTAACAAGAACTAGGGTCTAAGAATAAAGCAAAAAATTTAGACACCAAAGGTGGTAACCATAAAAAATTGCACCAATTGAAAAGATAAACAATAGTGAGAAAGGCAGGAGCAACACCTCTGAATTTGAAAGGCTACATGTTGGTTCTATTATCATAAACATGTTTTTTTTCTGATTTCTAACCTGATTAAAGTGCCATTATATTACAATTTGGCCAAACAACCAAATCTCACCAGATATTATATTTTAAGTTCACCACTACATCAAATATCCTTTTTTTATGAATCAATCTGAAGATTCTGCACATCATCCACAATAGGTGGTCTAGTCTAACTTCTTCTGAAAGAAATGCACTATTTTTTTTTTGTAAGTGAAAGAAATGCACTATTATTTCCATTCCTTTTTTTTCTGTTTGTAAATCATGTTTGAAAACATCAGCTTGGTTGAGTTGCAGTTCTTTTAAAGGTGACTGAACTGAGGTTTGATTTTTCAAATATTAATAGTTTTGGAGTGACAAAAACAAAGTTAAAAAAAATATATATATATATACTAGTTAGATGAACCACAACAAAACACAAGTTAGAAAATAGATTACCTCAACACCTCTTAGGTTAATCCGTATAAGTTCCTTACGGCTCTCAAAATTTGGAAGAGGAATATATATTCGCTTTTCCAGCCTTCTCCTGCACTCCATTAACATCAAATTCAGACCAAACACAATAGAACACATAATACCAAAATTTAAAATGATTACAAACTGCTGATTTGCAAGGTAAGGTAAGCATGCTGATATTGGATTGCAGTGGAAATTATAAGGACTATCACCAGGGGAACCTTCAAATCAGTAGAAGGATATCTCACCTAAGTGCCTCATCTATGTCCCAAGGAAAGTTGGTAGCGGCCAAGACCATAACTATTTTGCGACTACCATCTTCAGAAGTGGAGCTGTTATTAACACCATCCACCTGTACTAGAAGTTCAGACTTGACTCTTCTAGATGATTCATGCTCTCCTGAGGCCCTGAAAGAATCAAGTTGTCAGAAGAAACTCCAAGGACTTAAGTAACTTATAGCATATCTACTGAAAAAAACACTATTATTTCCAGTTATAGAAAAAAACAAAAACAGAAAACTCTATGTCGTATAAGCATGTACACATATCACAAGAGCATTTTAAGGTATGAAATCAGAGATCCATGCAAATGCCTATTTATAAACAACAACTGAAAAATCCTTCAGACTACTATAGCTTCTACAAAGGGCAATTGGAATAAAGAGATCTCTAACCCCCACAAGATAAAGTAAAATTATGACTTACCCTCTGGCATTACAAAGAGAATCAATCTCGTCAATGAAAATTGTACTTGGTGCATAAGCCCTTGCAAGATCAAACAAACATCGTACCATGCGTTCACTCTCACCACGCCATTTAGAAGCTAAAGTAGCAGAAGAGACATTGAAAAATGTTGTTCCACACTCAGTAGCAACTGCCTTTGCCAAAAGTGTCTTTCCAGTACCAGGTGGGCCAAACATAAGAATGCCCTTCCAAGGTCTCCTAATACCCTGCAAGTAAATAGAAAAGTATCTTTGGTTAAGGTTCACCACACCTGTACCAAAAGAAAGGATTGCAGTTTCGTGAGCAGACAGGTGGGGTTAGAGGAGCTGGATGCTACACAACTCAACTCTTCCTCCCTCTCAACTCTTTTGCAAGTTCATAGTCCCTCTATAACTCTTGTTGATATTACCAAGTTAAAACAGATCCAAGAATCTTACTAATATTTATTCAGCTATGATGGATTTGTAATACCTGGAAGTATTCGGGCATCCACAGGGGAAGGACAACAGCTTCCTCCAAAAGTCTTTTGGCTTCACTCAATCCCGCAACATCATCCCATCTCACTCCAGGGGTGCTATCTAAAACATCTCTTTCAAGCATTGCAGCTAAGTCAGGATCAGGCCCCTCATACTGCCCCCTTTTTGGCTTTCCTTCTTCAGCATCACCATTCTAATAACATTTGCAAATACATATTAGGAGCCACAATGCAAATGACCTGAAGGAGAATCTGGAATGGAGCATATAGAGAAAATGCACAAAAATTAATGCAAGGTAAAGGCACAAAATGCATGTTGAAATAGAGAACCTACAAGGTAATTCTTCATGCACTAACACCAACCAAACACTTAGGTTTAGGGCTGCAAGTCAGGTTGCCCGATTTAAAGAGTCTCAACCATCAGGTTTGAGTTAGGGTTTGGGTCCATTGAAAATTGAACAAAATTCCAACCCAAGTTGCACCTCAACTTAGGTTGTACCTTTTTTCTTTTCAATGAGCAACAGAAGAAAATCTTACTGAGTCAAGCAGACATGAGCTTTTATGATTTTTTATATAATTTTGTATTTTTAGATCATATGGGTATTTTGGCCATTTTATGTCATTTATGGGAAAAGAATAGTATTTTGATTCACCTAGTTGTGGTTTAATTGTGCTTAAACCTTCATAGTCATTGGTTAATATCAGAGGTTATTTTCTTTGAGTCAAAGTACTAGTAGGAACCTATGCGATGCACGGGCTTTGTTAAAGAGAAATTGAAGTAACAGTAGCCAATACAAAATTCTCAATTGTGCAAATCGGTCCTAATCTAGGAATGTCAGTGGGTCAGGTTCGAGGTGGGGACCATGCTCTCCATCATCAACCTCAATTTCAAAGTAACTGCCCACCTCGACCTCAATCCCTTTCGGAGAGGAAAATGAACCCCATATTTGATCCCCAATGTGGAGATAGGTTCCCCATTGAGGACTTGAGTCTCCGAATTCTTTTTTTATTTTAATTAAAGGTTTGCTTTGGCAAAATGATTTACTAAATAAGAAAAAAATCCATTAATCTAATTTGGTTTAACACTTCAAATAATACTTTAAAATATTTAATATATGTATATATTTTCAAAATTTAAAATATAAATAACATTTTAGAAATATTTAATATATAACAATATTGGGGTCAGGTCAAGCCGTGTCAAGGTGGAGACTTCACTCGATGGCCATCCCTATCTTTGTACCTATCCCCATCCTTGCCAGAAAAATCTCCATAATGGGGAAAGGGAAAATCGTCATCCCTATCCAAGCCCAAGCATTATTTTTTAGGTTATGTCTAGGTGGCCTATTATTTACCCATCAATGCAGAATTGTTAATTAATTAAAATCCATTGAAGTTAAACAAATGGATAATTAATCTAGAATACATGAAGCAATAACTAATCCAAGTATTTTACTCAAGTTAACTAAAATTAATTGAAGCTTATCATAGTAAATAATAAATTAATTATTAATGACGTAACAGTCTATTTATATACAAATATATTAATTGTCGAAATTATTACAATTGGGACCCATATAATTAGGGTATATGGGTATAACATAATTAGGAACTTTATATTCCAATTGTAAATTTGTAGTTAACATAAGATAAATAATTAATTAATTTAAGTAATTTACCTAATAATCTGGTTTTATTAAAGCAAATATAAATTAATATGATATATATATATATTAACTTAAACTAAATTACATTAACTTTAAGTTTAACTAAATTAAATATACTTTCCAAAACATAATTAATTAGCTTCCTATATATTAGATATCTTTGATAATTGCTCAATTAGTTTAAGTAATTTACCCATTATTTTTTAGAGGAAAGCAATTTACCCATTAATCTATTTTGTAAAATAAACTAATTTAATATCTAATGGTTTATCTCATACAATCTGTAATTTTATCTAAAAAGGAAAGTTTTTGGAAAAAAAGAAGAGACTACTTTGGGAAGCAAAAAGTTTATTGAATATCTTAGGTGGCTGATTCCGAAATTAAAAAAAAAAAGTTAGAAAATAACAAAATTTAATGGGAATTGAAGAAGATGGAGAAGGAATATTGAGCTGGAGAATGCATTTCTACATTGTAAAATAAAATGTAAATATATTTCATGATTCCAGCATAGTTTACTTTTTTTTATTCATACATATCCATCTTTTGAACTACCCAATTTATAAGCTAATGAAAGCAATATTATACTTCAAGATTAAACTACCACTTCTCTTTTCAATGACTAATGACCAATAGACGTTCTTTGAAACCAAAATTACTTATAAATACCGTTTTTTTTTTTTTTTTGAGTTTGAGATTGAATGATGATCTTAGTAGAAACAGTAATGGGTAGGAATTATATTTCGTGTAGAAGTTTTGGATGGTCCATTGCATCTTCATTTGTTTCTTTACACATGTAAGTAAAGGTTTATAAACAAAAACACACTTTCTCCCCATGTAATACTAAAATGTTTATCATTGTAGTGATCATGGAAGAGAGTTATGCTGAGCTCTTCTTCAGCTGCATCAAATTCTTGTCTCTGATCACTCCATCAAAGGAGATCAAAACCTAATGACCAGCTCTCATTTTCCTCTTTTCAAGACCCCTTCTCGATCCAATGAGATCAGAACCCACAACCAACTCCCGTTTTCCCTCTTTTTCTATAAGTCTCCTCTGTAAAAAATCCAAAAGTAAAATATTGAACATGGAAAATTAAAATATTGATGTACACATTTAGACACAGCATTTTCAAACCATCGTTGACCTGGACGGTTGGACTGTTTGGCCTGGGAACTGTCTAGGCAACCGGCTCCGTTTCACCCTTAACCCGGCCCTTGACCAAAAACCATTGATTCTGTCAATGACCCGCTGACCCATGCAGTCAAACCGTAGACCCATTCAACAGTTTTTGGCCATTTTTTATTTTAACTATTTTTTTTATTTTTAAGTTGGAATGGCCTGTCCATTTGAACTGAACAGTTGAACCGCTGACCCAGAAACCGATGGATAGAATAGTTCCGGTTCCGGGTTGGGTTTTAAAACCTTGTTTAGACGTGTGTGTGTGTGTGTGTGTCTCCAAAATTTTGAAAAAAATGAACAATTAAAATAGCTAAAAAACAAATGTAGATGACTCTATCTTAACACCCCCCGGGTTGTATGACTCTTTTTCTATTTTAATGAAAATTTTTATTCTGATTCTTCAAAAAAAATGGCTCTATGTGTTTAGATGAGACGCGTTTGAAGTTAACAATTTTCTAGGAGTGGAGTTCACCACACGTATTTTTTAGTTAGTAACTCCTATTTTTTAGTTGGTAGATAGAGACTTGAATTTTGAAGGTGGGCTTACCCATTCTCACTTTCCTAATTTCTTGGGCAAAAAAATTGGAGATTGCCATGCTAGGTGGCAACTCTATGGGCTTCTAGAGGGAATCTTGCACCCCCTCTAGAATTGCTCCCTTGGGGTAATGGAGCACAAAGAAGCCATCTAACGTGGCATAACATTAATTTAGTATATATAGATAGGAATTATAGATAATTTAGGAGAAAGTGGGGGATAGTGGTGCCACTTGGCTAGATTAGATTAGATTTTGGTAGAGAGAGATTATAGGAATAGTTTTAGGAAGGGATATCCAAAGGGATAAACATAGATGAAAGAGGGATGGGCCTATTATGCTGAGATGTCAAAATGAGAGAAGGGAGTGATGAGGTGGCTCAACAGGGGGGTTCTGTTTTTTGGGCTTTCAGTGGGTTCGCTGCTTCTGCTGATGCTTCAGAAGCTCAAGTTAGGACTCTCTTGGCTGGCTTGAGAATAGCCAAATCGAACCAAGTCTTATCCCTTATTGCTACTATGTTACCCTATATACGGTACAGATACCAAGTTAGCATTTAAGTATCTGAATACAGCATTCTTTTTGAAGCATCCAAGTAAAATAGATGGCATACCTACATATGACCCTGGAAGAAAATTACCTGTTCACAGAAAAAAATATTAAAATTTTTTCTCTTGGACCAACCCATGCATTTCAGTAACTTCAGGATAGGCTTTTCCCAGTTTCAGAAATCTCAGTGGAGGCTTAAGAAATTTACCCAAATATGAACTGCATAAATTGCAATGATAATGCTACTTGGAAACATGCAGATAAATGGAACTGCACATATGTCAACAAAAAAAGGATTCCAATTTCTAACTCAGAAACTCTAGTGAAGATATTAAAAAAGCCAAACCTACCTACACAACTTGGTTCTACTATTCATGAATCCTTTAAATATAACCAGCAGTAAGATTCTAAGAAAGAAGAGGTAATGCATATTGTGTTGTACATAAATTAAATCATTTCATTATGTTATATTAATACATAGATTAAACCCAAAGCACACCAGTGGACGGAGATATGGCAGAAAATAATTCACAATAAAACTCACCACCGAATCTGCCTTGCCAGAGTTAGATTTGCCTGAAGAGTTCCCCTTCTTCCCAGGAAGTCCAGAAGCAGTGGATGAACGGACTCCAGATTTACTTGAAGCATTAGTCTTTGCTCCACGACCAGTAGTTCCTGCCCTTGTTGAACCACGAGCCCAAGTTGCATCTTGTGATGACTTCCTTGTGCCCACTTGACCAGACCTCGTAGGCCTTCTGCTTCCTGGGTCTCGGCTTGGCGGCCTCCAAACATCTGGATCATCCATTGGAGCACCTGAAGAAGTAGGGTACTCATCTAGTGGTTGGAAGACAAACGATGATTTAGCCTGTATAGGAGGCGATGAAGAGCGTGCGGTCCCAGGAACCTCCTTGAAGGCCCTTCTCTCTGCATCCAACTGTTTTACAATATCTATTTCTTCGGAAAGATTCTTCTTTACGTTCATCCATTTTGCTCTTAGCAAAGGATCATCAAGTGTGCTCAGGTGCCTGCCAAATAGACAAAGTCGAAGATTTTAACCAATTTACGGTCCATAGGAGTTGTCGAGTTGAGAATTCTAAAATTAATAAGGAAACTGGCTCGCCCTCCCGAATCCTTCCCAATTGAGCTCTCAAAAACAGAAGTAAGAGACCAACATTGGCTAAAACTCAAAAGGTAGAAGATTAAACAACTGAGACCTAGAAGCTCACAATCTTAAGCAAGTAAGAATCATAAATAAGAGGGAAAGGAAATGACAGAGATAGAAAGATTAGAAATGGGAGAAATTACTTGTTGATCTGAGCAATGGCACCGTCGAAGAAGATAATGGACGTATCATAGAGGCCTTCAAGGGCATATTCCTTGGCCAATTTGAGATGATCTTGCAAGCCCGCAAGCGTTCCCACCATCATCCAAATCTAGGGTTCAGCTATTTGATTTCAAAACCTATAACTCTTTTTTCTTTTCGGAATAATTAGGGTTAGAGAAATCCAAAATTCTTCCCAATGGCAGAGAAAACTGGCTTCTGACTGTGTGAAAGAAATCCTCTCTCTGCTCCCGCTAGCCGCTAGCTATCTCCTGCTGCTGCTGCTGCTGCCGCCTGGAACAGTGGAGAGATGACGGCAACGTTTAAACGTTGAGGAGTGACGAGTCTGCTCTTACCAAATTGCCCTTGCATTTTATGTAAATTACTCGGGAATCTTGATTTAGTATGGTATAATGCATATAATCTTTCAGTTTCTTGTTTCTACCCGTTTTGATTTGATCTAGGCAGGTGAAGATTCGAATACGACGATCTAGATTGAATCGCAGTAGTGGCTTCGACACCCTTTACTCCATTAGATCAATTGAGTTTTTAGTTAATGGTACAATCTCCGCGTAGAATATCGTATTACGGGTCCCACCTAGAGATTATCAGCCTAGAGAACGGGCACGTACCCATTCTAGTCTAGACTCTAGTCTAGACAGAACGCCGTCGCTCTACCATACTTCGCCGGAATATTCCTTGTTCCCAACAACATTTTGACAAAGCCAGCCTCCAACATCCTGGCTTTTGCTCTGCCCGCCGGATACCACCCGTTGCGCCGTCCGCTCCTGGTTTTCGCTACTTCCCGCCAAATAAGATTTAAAACCAAATGGGAGAGAGAGAGAGAGAGAGAGAGAGAGAGAGGAGAAAAACCGAAGAACGAAAAGCTACAAAATGCAAAATAGCCAAAGGAGAAGAAACTCAGAAATGTGGGTGCTGTATAGATGGATACCCATCTGAATTCAAGATCGATATCGGGATTCTCAGGCTGGTACAAAGATCAGACGGCGGAGATATTAACCTCTCCAACTGAACCCAATTTGTACTCTCAACAGATCGCGGGACCTAGCAGTTATCCCATGGCGAGAAGATGAGTTCCTCCAACAAACTTTTGATACACTGGCTTAGGTAGAATAAACCAATGCTTTGAAACCCAGCTCAGATTCTGAACTGCTTAGCAATCTCGAGTGATGCAGAATTGATTGATAGCCTCCTAAGGCCATTACATTAACCACCATCAAGGAAGCTTTATCTCATTACCCCACCAAATGCTATTTTGCTTTTTTTTTTTTTTTTTTTTTTGAGGGACGACTAGATCGTAAATGGAGCTGATTGATCCTGTCAGAGCTAGCCACTAGCCATGTTTAGGTAAATTTCTGTTCCGAAGAATTACCATTTGAAGAACGAACCGAAAATTCTGAAGCACGAAGCTAATTTTTAGCTTCAAAGAATCGATTTACAGAATGAGTTTTTAGCTCAAAACAAACACAAAGTTCTTCTCACGTCCAATGCGAAATGATATACTGTGTGCTTGTGCAGGTGTGGATCATAAAAAAATAATAAATTTGTTAATGTGGCTCGACATACAAAATGGCTTCACTTCACATACAACATCCAAAAATCACAAACCTTCATACATAAGAGCGCCAAAACTGTGTCAATACCTTTTCAAAGATAGAACCACGACCAAGCAATTTGCCTAAGTAATCACCAAAAGTCCAAAAGCTTAAATGCTGACAACCTTTGTTTGTCTGCTGGTTCTTATTATTATGTAAATTACAACTCTTGAATTCCGTTGAAATCCGCCGTTATAATATTTTTTAATCCTTATATTATTCTTGTAATAATTATTTAGACAATTGGAATAAAACACTGTTCATCTTTTCCGATTTCATGATATACAAACAGTAGCGGCGGTAGCTGTTGCAACGGCAGCGGACTTCCGAAGTACTCCCTCTCCCTCCCCCGATCTCTCTTCTTCCCCTTCCCCTTTCTCTCCTCTCCTTTCTTCTTCCCGATTTTCTCTGTTTTCCGTTCCTTACAGATGGAGAAAGAGAGAGAGTAAACTAATAATCTGGAACCCTCCTTAATTGTGGTTTTGAAACTTTGGACGTCTTAAATGGTCTATAATCTGGAACCCTCCTTGATTGTATCAATGAAGCACCAATGGAAGCATTCCAATTATGGAATAAAAACCAAACAAAATGGTTCAAACCATTTTTCAGGATCTCTGGGTTTAAAACCTTCTCCTCTTTAATTTGCAATGTTCACCTCTACTAGTCTTATGCTTGCTTGTGCATGGCTTGCGATCCGATAACTAATAAAGTAAAGCTTCTTCATGAATCTCTGATGTTGTGCTTCATCTGTATATATGTTGGGTTTGCATTATCTTCGAAAATTCCACGTACCTACATTGATCTCAGATTGATCCAAGAAGAGGCCAAATTCCGCCTGAATGAAAGATGAAACTAGACTTTGTATCTTTTCTCTCCATGTAATAAATGCATCTCCTTTGACCTTGAAATGCCAATTTATAGTTGTCTTTAACTACGTCGAACAAATGGGCGAGACAATAGATTTGCTTTTCCGTGTTTTCCATATCTTGGAGTTCAACTCAATGGGATTTCATGATTTTCCTTGTAGAGAAGGTTGTTCTTCTTAAGCTTAAAAGCACAGACTAGATGACATTAGCTTTCAGGGCCTCCTTTCACCTGGCTTACTCGATTGAAATGGAACAAATTTCTCTTTTTGTTACATGCAAAAGTTTGGAGGGGAAATCAAACAACTGGGTTCTGCTTGTTTGGAATATTAATGGAATCCAGTTTTCTGTTCGTTTCACAGGGTCCCATGTTTATCTGGGATGTGTACAACACCAATAGAGGTCACATGTTCTCAATTGATAGAAGTGAGATTTTTCCTCCGATGATGGTGAAGGCCTTTCTCTACGTACCCTGGAGCAGATGCAAATGGTCTCACCAAGAATATGACCATACCCAGCTGGGGTGACCTATTAAACATCTATAACTAAACCAATGTCAAGGAAGCATCTGTAGCGACTGATCTCCAGTGCCTAGAGGTAATTGCTTCTCAACTGCTCTGCTCACTTTTCTTAATTTCTTGAGCAACTACATGAGCTGCTCTATTTCTGATGAAGAGACTTGATCTATCAAAACAGAAACTGCCAAGGAATACCAGAGGATTATAGCTTTGATTGCTGATTAAGAATCCGACTCAGAAAACCTTCTCCCATTTGAAACTTTCCGTCATTTTAATAGCGGCCAAAATAGAGTTTTTACTAGCTAGATGTCCAAAATAGTTGTTGCTTGCAATAATCCAAGCCAATCAAGTTGTTGCTTTCCTTGGACAGGACATACTTCTCACACGCATATGACACAGGCGTGGCCATTTCTCCATTACTCGTTAAGGCTAAAATGCATCTCTCCAGTAATTAAGCACAGAAAGTGATGTCATGGTCCCTATTATTGTCTGCATCTCTCCACATATTATTATTAGTTTACTCTCTTTCTCTCTCTCCATCTTCAAGTAACGGAAAATAGAGGAAATCGAGAAGAAAAGGGGAAGGGGAAGAAGAGAACAGTGTTTTACTAGCCAGATGTCCGTCGCTGCTGCAACAGCTACTGTTCATGTATCGTGAGATCAAAAAAAGATGAACAGTGTTTTACTAGCTAGATGTCCGTCGCTGCTGTTCGTGTACCGTGAGGTTGGGGAAGATGAAGTGTTTTTCTTCTAATTGTCTAAATAATTATTACAATGGTAATATAGGGATTAAAAGATATTACAACGGCGAACTTTAACAAAAGGCTAACGAAAGAGGGTCTCTGTCTCATGATCATAATACAGGGGGGGTCTTTATAATTTACCCTATTATTATTTTTTATATTGTTCTAACCATCTCAAGGTGGAGATTTTCCTGTTAGTCTGATTGCCCCAACCAAGGGATGATTCACTTATCAATTGGATAAGTTGGTCACCTGGTAGACATGGTTGCAAGGTTTATCCAGTATATGACTCGAGGACTCGAGCAATAAAGACCAAAATGGGATGCGCCCCCCCCGGCCCCCCGGGCCAAAAAAAAAAAGAAGCAATAAAGACTATACTTTATAAACAGAGAATGATATCTTGTGAGAATTTGATACCAAGAGTTTCTTCATGAATCTAGTAAGTATCCATTTTATAAATAGGCCTCTAAGAGGCGTTTCCTCTCAATGTCGTACATAAAACAATATTCATTTTCCAATTAAAATTTCCCCGTATCCTCCAACCTGCTCCACAACCCAAAAGAAAATTATCCAAGGCAAGAATCCACGACTTAGGCGTGTGAACAGCCAAGCAACAATTTGTTCCTGAGACTTGTAAAATATTGCTCTGAGAAATCACTGCACCATCCCATCTCTCACCAGCTCTTCCAACCCTCTACGGAGCCTCCCTGCAGCAACTTCACAGTCAGCCTCTACCAACCCTCCAAAGGAAATCCGAATATAACCTCGTCCACCGCTTGCACTTCCAGGAATCACAACCACCCCATGCCTCCTCGCAAGCCAGCGTACTACATCAAAATCATCTGGGTATTTCTCAGGAAGCTTTGCCCATAGGTAGATTGCACCCTCCCCACCTTTGACCGAATCCTTTCCAAGTGGTGATAGTGCATCAAGGAGGAGCGCTCTGTTCTTGACAAGGTCCTTCACTTGGTTCCTAACCCACTCAGGCCCAGTTTCCAAGGAATAAAGAGCCAGACGCTGGGAGATTATAGAAGCGCAAATAGGTATATTGTCTTGGACCTTGAGGAGTTGAGCTGCAAGACCCTCCACCTCTGATGGGTATGCTATCTGCAAGCACACACAGAATCACTAGATGGCCTAGCCATAAAATCTATTTTTGAATATAATATTTACAGTAAAGGTAGAAGGTTAGAAATTCGATTTTAGCAACAAATGTTATGCTCAGAGTCCAGTCACCAATTTACAAATATGAATAACAAAGCAAGGCCACACCTGTGAATCAGAAATTTTGAAGTTCACTCTGTTGAAGGGGTTTAAAATTTGAAGTGGGTCAATATAAAATTCTTCAGAATTCCTTGTGGTGTACGTTTAGTGGTGGAGTTTCTCTTATTATATACCCATCTGCCTTAATGGTTCACCTCCAATAGAGTTTCTCTGATTATATCCCCCCCCCCTATTCTTCCTGACTCACCTATTTTATTTGCACTTGTTCATGAACCTGGCATATTTTAAACCATGTTCTGTGTTATCTTATCAAAGAAACCATTTATCTTACAGATACAGAGGCTTATCTTACAAGGCAAACAATTAAAGAGTGTTATTTTTTCTTTGCACCCATAGATCATGTGTGCACATGATTTTCTTGTGTATTCGTATTTGTGTTGGGGGGGAGGGTTCGCATTAGAAACCTTCTCCACAAGACACATTCAGCAGTGTGTGGTTTCATAATTTGTTATGTGTCACATATTCATATGATTTGAACCCATAATGTTATAGGCCCCACCATGGGGATTTACTAGGCCAGAAATCAGCTTGAAAATGAGAGTAGTTAGTTGTGGGTGCATAAATTTGGTGGCTGAGAAAAGCTCAGAAGAAACTGCATAGATCAGATGCCTGAAAGTCATTTGGACATGCTGACATTCAGTACAGACCTTCTCTTAGGTGGGACCCATACAATGGTTCCCAATCCTCTGATACCACAACTACGAGTCATGTGTGCCTAGACCAAAGATTATAATGAAATAATAATAAACTTGATCATATCATAAATGTTAGCTACACATTGAGTGATTTCACGTATTAAAGATGCTGCACAATGAACATGTGCAGATTCAATGGAAGTTTTGAATGGACACTTGAGGTGCACCTTTCCTTCATAAGCCTGCTATGAATTATCAGTGTAGCATTAGGGCTCAGTATTATTTTCCCATTAAAGCAAACAAGGAGTGATCTTTAATCTCTAGATCATAAAGAAATAATCTGCAAGGGCATGGTAATTACACAATACCCAAATCTAGAGACCAAAATTCCACCCAACCAGGTGACCATAAACTTTCTCCTGCTTGAAAGAAAGTTCAAATTGTTCACTTTGTTTTCTGAGAAAAGCAAACTCATGAAGTCTCAATTTTAAAACCAAAAGTTTACTTACATATCCCACTCGCCATCCCATCATCCCATAGGCTTTTGAGAAGGAAAACACATTAATTATGTGATCACCCTCTATGCATGTATGCTTCAAACCATCATACATAAAATACCTACAGACAAAGTACTGAGACTCTCAGTGTTGAATTATACATTCAATAATAGACTTGCAAGATAAATAGAATGTAGTAATTAAGAAGTAATGCCCTCCTAACATTTCACTGACAACGTTACAGAATATGAACTCTTTTCAGTATGTCATTTCATGGATGATTGGTAGACAAAGACACAAAGAAAACTCATCTACACAAGCCTGATAGATAAATGAGAAACAGCAAGAAATTTTATTCAGAAGATAAAATACATTTTTGCTAGTTTTAGAAGTCAACTTTGTTCTTCATTTTGCGTGTTTAACCTTTCTTTACACTTTTTGTCCACATTCTATAGGCATACCATTGTTTAGCAAACCACTAAATTTCTCCATTCAATCCCACAATTCAGAGATGCCCATAAAGCCTATGGCCTAAAGACTACATTCTGCAGTTTCTGGGAAACTGTAACTTCAAATAAACAGCACATAAAACATGGACATTCTACAATTTTGCATCAGAATGAATATGATTAATAGTAGAACTATCATTTCGCCGAGTAATTTAGGGATAAAGTATGTGCTACTTACTCGTATGTATTATCTACAATAAGCCAGGAACCAGCACTTTTGCAGAGATCTGAAATCCTCTAGTTAAAACGAAGAAAAGAACTAGTTAGATACAGAGCAATAGAAATTGAAATGAAGAATAAATACTCCAACATCACCAGACCTCTGCTCATATCAACAAGTTATTTTTCTACTGTCTTACCTTTTTTACTTCTTGGGGGGGAAGAGTGGAGGAAGAGATAGATACCTTGAGAAGAGACTCTGGAATGTATGTTCCGGATGGGTTTCCAGGGTTGACAACAGTAACAAGCTTCGGCACTGATTTACTCTCTGACAGAATCTTTTCTAACCAGTCTATGGAAATCTCCATGTATTTACAGAAAATAATGTATTAGAACACTTATTTAAAACAAAAAAGGGGGAGATGTAATTGAATTACATGCTTCCGTGCCCCACAGGTGTTGGACATAACACTAAATTAGTTATGATAGAATACCATACAAAATAAATGTTACTCAACCATAACAATCAAGTTAATGCAGAAGAAAGAATTATACAAACCTAAAATAAAAATTTCAATAATTTATGACAAAGACCTGGAATGAAACAGAGGGGAGAAGGAAAAGAAAAACTAGTGTTATAGGTTCAGGAAGCTACACATTACATTACAGATTAGAAGTGCCTTGCAGGCCTGCACCCCACACTGGTAGTCTCCCATACCTACCCCAAATTACATCAATTTTATGATTTTCTGCATACACGTTCATTTTGGATATTTGATATTAAGGGAAGCCTAGGGTCTGAATATGCAGAAAATTCCATGCACAAATACATAGACATGTATCTGCATTCAAATAGTCAGGTCCCACCATTTCAAGGGTTTCATTTAAAGAAACCAAGATTAACTATGGTTTGAGTATTTCACAATCCCTATGCAGAAATATACAGTCACATGTCTGGCATGCAAAGAATATGGGCTCTCACCTAAGAATCTACATTTCCAGAGTTTAGAGTAAAGTTGGATGACCTCAACCATTCACTATATAAGTTCCAGAAAGATTTTACATTAATTTAATCAGAACTGATCCAAGCATGCATATTTTGGCCCAGCGCATTCACTGGCAAGTTCTGAGTCTACTGACCAAGTGGATACAAAGTCAAATTTTGTGCTTAACCACTGACAATTGTGCTCAAGTACTCAGGCACATGTCAGTTGATGTATTTACAAATTTACTAATGTCTATAAATGTATTAGCGATAAGGCTCTAGAACCAGTATGTCAACCCAAAACCATTAAACCAAGGTGTCCAATTTAGACATAGAAAACCTTATTAACAAGTTTCAACTCTCTGAAAAGAAAAGAGAAAACAACTCTAACTGAATGTGATATTTCAGAACATAGAAATACTTGTTTCCAACTTCTAATTTGGTGCTGAATGACTAGAACTGGAAGGTCAGAAATATTGTAATTAGCTCATAATAAAGGAATAACATATAGTACCTGCATCTGGCTGGAGTGTGTCAGGATTACTGGGACCTACTAGTATGTCAGTAACTCCTGTCATCTGGAAGGACATGTATGCATTGAAATAGTATGGTGCAAACATCACTACAGAATCCCCAGCATCACAGAGTGTAAGAACAAGATTTACAAAAGCCTGGAGATAAGACAAGTTACAAAACTCTTAGACAGCTTGAGCAAGATTCAAAAATGTTGTCCACAAGATAAATGGTAAAAATCTTAGAAATCTTGAAAATTTGAACTTAATTAGTACTTAACCACCTAAGACGCACCCCTTTATCACAAAACCAATAGCATCATCCCTAAAATACATAGTTAAGAATAATCCTGATACCCATAACAGAATACATTTGACAGAAATCTGATAATATATCTGACAAAAAATATTTTTTGGAGCTAGACTCTTCTTTATTAACTAACCCAATAAAATTTATTTTGGTCATTAACCAAACAGAGGATTTGTACAGTTCATTCTTCTTTGTTAACTAATCCAATAATATGTTCATCATACCTGATTTGCACCAGCTGTAACCATCACAGAGGATTTATACAGTTTATTCTCCTGACCTAACTGCAACAGGGAGAGGAAAGCAACCGTACATATGTTAAATCAAAAATTATACATGACCATATGAAACGACAATTGATTTCAGACCATTCCCATGATTAACATGAAGTCATCAATCATGATACAAGAAGATGCCTGAGATAGGGAAGACACCAGTGCAGTTAATTTCTGTTTTTTTTTTCAGATAATGGATGGGAGTAGGAAAGATAATTTGTTAGGGTGCTTTTGTTTCCATGTAAAAAGAAGCAAAGGTGTAGCAAGTCCAACAAGGTGGTTCTGGGGTAGGGGTCAAGCTCTCTCAGTCATGATCCGGGTGCTCCTTATAATCAGCCCTCTATGCGCAGTTGTGGTGGTGCCGACCAGAAGACTGTCGTTGGCACAAATGAGGAGAAAATCAGGTGCAAGATAGGCCTGCACCCAGGTGTGATGGTTGATGAAGATTTGGAGCAGAACAATTGTGCTGGCCTGGAGCCTATTCCTGACTCCTGAGGTAATCTGGTTTTGTATCTTCTGACTCTGGGATTGGGGATTCTTCTCTAGGGAAGCTTGGGGATGAAGTTTCTGGTGAACAGTTTTTTGAAGTGGTTGTGGGAACGATTGGTGTCGATATTGGTAGGAGGAAGGCGGAGGTCGAAGAGAACGTCTGTGATAGTGATGCCAAACAAAGTAGGAAGTTGAGAGTTTCAAGTAGATCACATCTGGTTCACATAACAAAGATTTTCTCGTGCCTTAAAGATGGTCTGGTTATGTCATATCCTACTAATAGATTTAAAAGAATCTACAAAAGAAAAAGTTCAAAGGCCGTGGATAAGTCTATGTTGGGATCTGGGGAGGAGAGCTTGGTGGACTGGCAAATGTTGAGTTGCAAGTTGTCTAGTAAGTCAACTATGTACGTTCAAGAGGACAAAGTGGTGGTGTCAAGTCTGGCCAAGGACAGTAGGGATGGCAATGAAGATAGGAGAAGATGATTAGGCAATGTCTGTTAATGCTAACATCATGGAAAGAAGGGTTGATGTGGAAAATTTGGTTGACAGGGAAGTCCAAGTTGGCAAGATGTTGGGTTTGTTCTTCTTGGGTGGGGAGGAATTCACCAGGAAGGCCTTGCTGGCTTGGGAGAATAAAAAAAGAATGGAAAGCGCTTCTAGTGATAATGAAAGCATTACTGATGAAGCTTTGGAGTTTGTTGAGGAGTAAGCTTTTGAGCTCAGCAGTAGATTGTTAGGGAGAGGGGGGGGGTTTGTTTGTCCAAAATGGAAGGTTTTCATGGTGTTTCTTTCTCTCGGGTGATATCTTATCACCTTCCTATTGTATTCTCTTTTTATTTTTAATAAAGTTTTATTTTACTATCAAAAAGAAATGCTTTGCCCATAAAGAGGAGAAAATATAAATAAATTTACATACAGAGAACTTTTCCACCTCTTCTACAAAGAAATAAAAAGAACCTTAGGCTGCATTTAGAATTGTTAGAATACTCGAATCAGGGGTGTTTTGGTCATTTTGGTTTATCTGTTTGAGAGTGAAAGGTCTATTTTATCTAAGTTTAAGTTATGTGTCCCATCTCTTATGAGGGACAATATGGTCTTTCTTGTAACTCTATTATTTGGACTAAATACAAGTGGGTCGGCTAGGGATAGGTGATTTTTTCCTCTCTTCTAGTCTGGCCGAACTCTTCTCTTCTTCTTCTTCTTCTTCTTCTTCTTCTTCT